ACCCACGTGTTTCAGTTAGGTCTCTTAGTTGCAAACAAGGAGTCAACAAACTTTCTGTAAAGGTCCAGATAGGAAAAATTTTAGGCTTTCTGGGCCATTTGGCCTTTGTCACATATACTCATCTCTAGTATTGTAGCACCAGAGCAGACAGAGATAATACGTAAATGAGCATAGCCGTGTTCCAATAACTTTTTGGATGCTGAATTTTGAGTTTCATCAAATTTTCACATGTCAACGATACTAAATATTCTAATTTTTAAAAACCATTTAATAAGGCTGGCCGAGTGGTCAGTTGGTTAAGAGCGTGAGCTCTGAGCAACAGGGTCACTGGTTCGATTCCCACCTGGGCCACTTAGCTGTGCCCGAGCTGAGCTGCCGAGCAGCCGGATGGCGACTGGACTTGGAGCTGTGCTAGCTGCGCCCTCCACAACTAAGATTGAAGGACAACTTGGCTGTTCCCCTTCACCAATTCCCCAATAAAATCTTTAAAAAAAAACAAACAAAACCATTTAATAATAGGTACTGGGTCAGATTTGGCCCATGAGCCGTGTAGTTTGCAGACTCTTGGTTGCAAATAATAGAAATTGATTGATTTGATGAATCAGGAAAAGGAATGTTTTCAAAGAATTTTGTTAGCTCTTAATTGTTGGAAGGCAGGTGAACCAGGAGGATAAACTTTGAGGAGCAATTGCTAAGACCATGCCTTAGAGCTGGCCTGAAGAGAAAGCCACTACCACCCAACCAGCACACGGGGCACCAGAGGAAAGTGCTGCTGTCCCCACCGATTCCACTTCTGTACAGGAACGCTGGGAAACAATCCAATTCCCCTGCAGAAAGGTGGGAGAATGTCCCACTCACACCAAAAGAGCAACAAAGGATTTTCATGGGCCCTCCTTAAAATTATGAACTCAGAAGTCTTACCTAGAAACATCTGATTGAAGAAGGCTAGATTATATACCCCTTTCATAGAATGCTAGGGAGTTTTCTGGGTTCTACTTAAGGAGGCAGGACCAATAAAGCCAGACTTTCCAGTATGTTCTTATGAGAGTTCAAATGGTACTGGCTCTGTATAAAGCCAACAACCAACCAACAAACACTACCTAACACAGCGGTTTTCAACCTGTGGGTCGCGACCCCTTTGGGGGTCGAACGACCCTTTCATAGGGGTCGCCTAAGATCATCGGAAAACAAAAAGATATTTACATTACGATTCATAACAGTAGCAAAGTTATAGAGTAGCAACGAAAATAATTTTATGGTTGGGGGTCACCACAACATGAACTGTATTAAGGGGTCGTGGCATTAGGAAGGTTGAGAACCGCTGAAAAAAGAACTCAAAGTATGAACGATTCTTGGAGAATGATTGAATGTTTAGGACCAAATCTTAAACAAATGTGGGGATTGTTCCATAGAAGAAAATGTAAATATTAAGTCCTGATTTTTAAAGGAGGGAGAAGGTAGACAATAGTGTAAATATGATGATGTGTCTCTAAAGGCTGGGTTGGGGGGTTAAAGGTATTTCAAGCTGGTAATCTATTAATGGAATTAAAAGCTTTACTTAACAAAAGTTAACACATATGTAGATAGTATCAATCCAAATAAAGTGATATGAGAGTAGAGGACATTTACTAATTTATCATTGTTCAAAGGAGAAAATAGTAGCTACTGTTTAAAAGATCAAAGGTTAAGTCTATTATATAAAGTTATAGAGAAATAGATGATATAAACTTATCGGAAGAAACTCTTCTGTGTTTTCTATGCTTCTGTGTTATCTATGACCAAACTAATGACCCAAGTTGTTTACTTCTCCCGTGTGTTCCAGCTTTGTTGATAGAAACCCTCGAACCACAAATCCCAATATCTGTGTTTCATTTCCTGCCCCATGGAGGCCGTCCCCACCTAACAACTTCCCACTGCTACAGCAATAAAGGCCCAGGGTTTCCCCTCCTTCCCCATGTGGCCCTTTGTGGGATGACCCTTCTCTTGGGAAATGAAAGTAATAAATTCAAAAGCTGTTGTCTTTCGGCTTTTGTCAACTTACCATACCTGATTAAAACACATCCCAAGTACAAATTTTAAAAGATAAATATGCAAAGCAAGAAAATATTACATCATAAAAAGGTTTTAAAATAAGAGCCTAACATTCGTGACAGAAGTAAACAAACCAAATAATAAAAGCAAATGGGCTAAGCTCACCTATTGAAACAAAAAGACTTTCAAATGGGACCATAAACTTCTGCATGCAAGATACACTGAAAACAAAGTGAGTTAGAAAGTTGAGAATAAAAGTATGGATAAACATACCAAGAGAATGCAAACAAGAAATAAGGGTGTGATCTTAGTAGAAAAAGACTAAAATCAGGGCAAAGCCCATTAAAGATATTTATAATGCTAGGGGGAACAATTAATAATTATATATTGGCTGTGAACCAAGTAGCATTAGGAAGCGGAAAATATAGGAGACACTAGGAAGCAGAACACAATGATAGAAGACACTGGTTCATTTCTCTCAGTTCATGGTAGTCAAGTGGACAAAAATTAAGGATATAGAAGACATGGATAGGGCTGGCCGAGTGGCACGTTGGTTAAGAGTTGGCTTGGGACGCCAACTCTGAGCAGCAGGGCCCCGGTTCGGATCCCACATGAGGGCCAGTGACACTGCGACCTCTACAGCTAAGATGGTGAACAACAGCTCAACCTGGAGCTGGGCTGCAGTGAGTCACCGGCGACAGCGACCTGCTGCAGTGGAGCTCCAGTGGGCTCCAGTAAGCTACCGTGAGAGGCTGGCAGCTGGTGTGAGCGGCCGGCAGCCAGTGTGAGGTGCTAAGAGCCGCTGTGATCGGCCGTCCAGTGGCTGGTGACCAATCTGCCTCAGCCAGGAAGAGCGCAATGATAATACCAACATGGGCCAGTGAAGCGACGTCCTCCACAACTAGACTGAAGAACAAAAGGACAGCAACTTGTCTGTTCTCTTTCCCTGATTCCCCAGCGCTGTTCCTGTCCCTCAATTCCCCAATAAAATTAATAAAAAAAAAAGACATGGATAACACAATGACGTTGATATAATTGATAAATACCAAAGTTTGCACCCTGAAAACAATACACCTTTTCAAGTACTCGTGGAAGTTTCAAATGCTAACCATACAATAAACCTTAACAAATTCTAAAAAGTAAAAATATTAGACTATTCTCTCATCACAAAGCAAGAAAATTAGACATTTAAATTCGTATGTAAAGAGATTTTGAGTCTGGAAATCAAAACCAAAAACATCATATGTTGCCTATGAGCTAACAATAATCCTGGGAAACTCAGAATATCACTGTAGATCAAAATTGGGTGGGGTGGGAGCTGGAGCTATGGTGATTGGGTAATAAATGGAGTTTGGACTCAAGTCCATCAGTGGCCCAATGGGTTCCTGAACCTACTCTATAGTTATCTGAGTTCCTGAATGCATAATTGGAATAGACATACTTATCAACTTGCAGAATCTCTACTTGGCTCTCTAATTCATAGATCAGGGTATATTATGATAGGAAGGCCATACATTATGATAAAAGGGCCAAAACAATAAACCAAAGGAAATTCTGCATTCCTGGAGGAATCACAAAGATTACTGCCACCAACTCTTCTGGAAGATGAAGGAGTGCGCTATTTAATTCACTTTGTTATACAAGATGTCTGAGAACAAATAGCAGTGGAATATTTTAAATTACTGATTGCAGCTACAGTTCCAAATGCAGTCTCTATCAGAGCAAATCAATACAGCCCCTAGAACTTAGTAGCAGCTATAAATTTGGCAATGTTATTTTCTTTATCCCAATAATATAAGAACGCTGGAAGCAGTTTGCTTTCACCTGCCAAGGAGAACAGTATTTCTTCAGTGTCTTTTCTTGGGAATATGACAAGTCTGATTCGCTGTCACAATTTAGTGGACAAAAACTTAGACCATTTCACCATCCCACAGATATCATTCTGGTCCATACATTGATGACATCATGCTGATAGGGGTAAGTGAGCAGGATACCCATGTCTTCTCCACTGATAGTGAAGCCAGGCCCAGTACAGTGAGGAAAACACTCTTCAATATAAGGATTTTCCTTATAATTGTAAATGTCTTTACATGAGGAAAACTCCTGCTTGGTTTTCAGAGCTTCTCATAATGCCTGCTGTTTCTTAAAATTAACATCCCTAAAATAACATCCCAAAGAAGTATATTTGGGGTGGCATAGTCTGCTACCTTTCAGCAGCAACAACCCTTCAAATTCAATTTTGACACAGAGCTGATAAGAAAACAGTTCTGCCACATTGCAATATTAATGAATATTACAATAAGTATAATGTGTAATTATTGCATCAGTAACTAATGTATAAATATTAAGCAGTTAATAAATAAACTTATTTTGGATATTCCTCTAATCAAGTTTCTTAACCTCTCCAAGCCTGTTTCCTGATCTGTACAAAAGTAAAGGTAATAATAATGGATCCTATCTAAGAGTTGTTGGTTGGATTAAATGGGATAATGCACTATACATACAGCCCGGCTCTAGTCAACACGCTTTTCAGATGAACATTAATTGGTTATTACTGACATTTTCTAAAACCCATATTTTATGGCATATGCAACGCTCAAAAGAAGAAAATGAGCAGGGAGACAGCACTAATTACTTATTCTGGGCCACTTCACTAATTTAAGTTTCCTACGAGGGCCCCCAGAGTGCCGCGCACACCTCGGAGGTGTCCCTTCTACAAGACACGGGTTTAGGAGAGTTTTAGGCGAAGGCCTGAAAAGGCTGCTGTCCTCTCCCCGCCACGTCGACCACGCGGGCACCCTGCCCTGGCGGACTTCGGTCCCGACAGCGGGCGGAGCACCGCGCACGAGACGCTACCCAACAGCTCTCTGGGCTTGAATGCACGCGCCTCCCGCCGCCGCCGTGGGTGCTGGGAAGCCCAGCGGCGACGATGTCGCAAAAGCGTCGCGAAAGCGTCCGTCCGCCCTTGGCGGCTCCCGGCCACCTGTATAAGAAAAGCGTGCTGGGGTTTGAAAACAAGTATGGCGGCGGCCGAGGTTTTCCGAGTTTTTGGGCACTCGAGGGAGAGGTGGCTCGTCGGTACCCCAGGGTGCTGAGCGCTCGTTGCCTGCGTCTTCTCGGCGCGGCCGCGGGGCCATGCTGGCTTCGCGCGTGGCGCGCGGCTCGTGGGGGGCCCTGCGCGGCGCCGCATGGGCGCTGGGGGCGCGGCCGGGCAAGGGGAGCGCCCTCCGGAGCCTGTTGCCGTCGGCACGCGGCTGCCTGGGCTGCCTGGCGGAGCGCTTGTGGCTGCGCCCGGCCGCGCTCGGCCTGCGGCTGCCTGGGGCATTCCCGCGGGGCCACTGCTCAGGCGCGGAGAAGGCGGCCCCCGGGCCCACGGTCGGAGGGGGCGCCGCCGCGGGGTCCCGGGGCGGCCGGTGGAGTCCGACGAGCGCCGCTAACCTGGTACGTACCGAAGAGGAAGGGCAACCGCAACCTTGGGTCGGAGTCGCGGGCCCTGCGGGGCTCAGTTCTGGACGCGAATTCCAACTCTGGCCGGTCCGGGTCGGGCGCTTCGGTTTCAGAACTTTTAAACCGTTTCCTGAAGCGCAGTTAAGGCCTGGTTATTCGGTTGGGATGAATTTGAGAGGTACCAAACAGGGTCCATTTTCAGTCTCGGTGGGCAAGGTAGAATCCCCTACCCCCCTTCTATCCGCACCAGTTGCTGGACCTGCCTCTAGATATTGATTGCATTGGTATAAATAGCCTTCACTTGTACTAAAAGCCAGTTTTGAATTTTCTGAAGGGAATCCCCAATGTTTAGGACCAGTCTGGGAATCATCAGAAAGGTATACGGTATTTTTTGTTTGCTTGTGCAGGTTTGGTTAACTGTTGACCTTTGGCAACCTTACATATAATAAGATGAAGCATCATTAAATAATTTAAGTCGTAATTAAAAGACCCTTTACCTCTAACTGCAGGAAAAGAATAAAAATCCCTGCTCGAGGCAACGGAGGGAAATATTTGTTGTCCATTTACCTGTTGAAATACTGCCCAGGTAGAAGACAGCAGAGCATGCATGTGGGAGAGCTTTTGATGTCATGTTAGCAAGATTCATGCAATTATTACACCTTCATTGTTATGTCTTCAGTGGGCCCCTGTGCTGCTTTCATCAGTTGTGCAGCATAGGTTGAGGTGGCCACCCTGGCAGGGAGTCTCAGCTCCACAAACAGCTAGAGCATGTCCGGGTTTGAACGCTGGCTGCTTTGAGGTTGCCTTATGCTGGCTGAAGTCCTTCCCAGAACGGCAGTAGTTGGTCGGGTATGCCACAGGTTATCTGGTTGGGTAATCTGAGATTAGCTCTCTTTATTTTTAATTTAGAAACTTACAAATTTAATGAATAGAAGTTAGTGAGGTACTTAATTTTAACAAATAGTTTGTATGGAGTTTAAAAAGAACCCCTTTTACTGTCCCCAGCAACATTCAGTCTGGTGTATGAATTCACCAAATGGCTGTGTGCAGCTTTAATTTTGTCTTTAATTTTGCCCCATGGACATCTCTGAGATTCATTTTGGGCCTCTTGATTCTGACGTTTTGCTTTGTTACTCTTTTTTTTTTAAAGCTGAGCCATCCTGCTACCTATTGGCAGCTCAGCGGCAGCTCAGCTCGGCCGGGCATCGAACCACTGTTGCTCAGAGCTCACACTCTTGAGCGAGCTCTTAACCAACTGAGCCACTTGGCCGGTCCTTGCTTTGTTACTCTTTTTTCTCAATCTGGAACTACCTTCCCTCCACCTCCAATGAGTAGCTGTAACACTGAATCTGTATTTGACTTAATTCTGTACCATGATATATGGTCAACATACTGACTTTTTTCTCTGAACTGTGAAACTCTTGACTTTTAAACTTGAATTTGGAATATGTTCCAAGAATGTTTCTATTTAATTATATAATGTGGTCTCTTTTCAATAAAAGGTTCCTGAGTAGAGGTTTGTATTGCTTCTTGTTTGGTGATTGTTTCCTGGAGAATTTGAAGTTTTTCTGTAGCTTTCAATGACAGTATTTTGCCACCTGACCCCAGTAACCCCATTATCCCTCCAGGCTGAGGTGAACATTTCTTGCCGGGTTCTTTTTAAAAACACAAACTTAGTGTCTTTAGGGAACTTTCTTTTCTTAAAGGATTGTTCATGTTCAGGCAAATTGGTTAACGTTAAGAAAGAGGTTAACCAGGGTTAGTCTTGTGAGGAGATAGTCCCATGGGGTAGAATTGGCCCCTTTCCCTCAATGGAGAACAATCCAGGCTTTAGGTAAAGACATTTTCTTGTATTATTTCTGTACTGTGTTGTGCCGGGTATCTTAGCTCTGCTAGACTGAGGCCTTTTTAAAAAGTTGAAATAACCTCTCATGAAACATTATGTTTGCCATGGAGGTAGTGTTCTTCAGAGAAGCTTCCAAGAAGCCCTTTTATTAGTGCCAACTTCAAATAGCTTGACTTCAAATGAAGTTTCAAGGAATCGTAAAGCCTCCCACAGGGGAGCTGAGAAAGCTCTCTTGGTTTTTCTAGTTTGGGGTCTTAACATTTCCATGGCTATTTTGAACAGATTTACAAAATTTCTCTGTTTCCCCAAGGGCCTCAATCCCTATTCCTAGTTCTGTTTTCTTCCAGCAGTTTGCCAATTTAGTAGTGATGTTATGGAATTAAATCTCTTTTTTCTCTCCATTTGTATTTCCATACACTGTATAGCATTTACAATATAGTATTCTTTTGGTGGGTATGTGTAGAGGAGTGAGGGAGGTTATTTGCAATAAACATTTTTAAGCCAAAATGCCTGGAGTTAATAATGTGGCTTTTTTCTGGCTTTCTAGACTATCTACTTGAAGTATAAGGTCTTCTTGAAGTTTAACTTTTAAAAGCAGTGTTTTAAGTTTTGAATTCTAATGGTGAAGTCTAATAAAGACGTGACCTATATGATAGATAATACATATTTGTTCCTTCTCTCTCTAGGAGGAAAACCTATATAGTAGACACTTTAGTCTACGTTTGAGTACATGACACGTCTTCGTCTTGTGTATTCTTGACATTTAGAGTGATGTCTGTAAGAAGAACAGATTTAAAAACTCAATTTAAAGTACTAAATTTAAAGTTTCTATAGCTTCTAACCCTTAAGTTGATAAAGTGTATTTTTCTAATGCATGTAGTTATTTAAAGTATGAATTTATAGCATTTAATTAAGATTTTGCTGTCTTTGTATTTCAGTATGAAAACCCATGGACAATCCCAAATATGTTGTCAATGACGAGAATTGGCTTGGCCCCAGTTTTGGGCTATTTGATTATTGAAGAAGATTTTAATGTTGCATTAGGAGTTTTTGCTTTAGCTGGGCTAACTGATTTGGTAAGTTGTAAAGGCACCCCCTCTGTTTTGCTCCCCTTCGAAATCCCAGAGTTTCTACTGCACTGAATGAAATAGCACAGCCTTAGTTGGCTTTTCCTTGGAAGGAAACCCTTAAGATTAATTTCACCTGGTATTATATTTTGTATAAGGACTTGTCTTTACCATCTCTGTGGGACTCTTACTCTTTATATGATCTAAGGGAGGTAACAGCAGAGGTTGTAGGGAGGCATAGGAGAGGGAGCTTTTTACTTTTGGTTTTTAACTTCTTCAGAAAAGAAAAACCCTTAGAAATTCCCAAAGAGCCAAGTACTTGTGTTAGGGATATAAATAAAGGAGAGAAGCTGTGAGACCATTTTTCTATTTATTGTGATAGAGAGAAATACTCTGCTCTTCAACAGCAGTTGGTTTTACTGGTGGAGAGGGGAGCAGTGGGCCAGTTGTTATCAGGGAGCCTGTAGAGCCTGGAGCTCTGCTCAGGTTTATGCTGGTGGGAGGCCACAGGCACCCCCCAGATTTGATCCTTGATCCCTGTTTCACACCCTGCTGACCACCCAGCAGAAGACCCTGCCCTGAGTGGGCATTAGGCATTCTTTCTTCTACTCCCCCAGCAGATAGATAAAGGAGAAAAGAGCTCCTTGATACTACTGTGTCACCTCGCGGGGGCATTATTTGGACTCACTCAAATTAGAACTTGGAAAATAACTTTATAACAGAAGACTACATTATGTGTTAAATTGGCTTTCATGGACTGACCAGCCATCATCATATATGACATTATTTGTATTTATCACCTACCTTGTTTCATAAGGAATTTGAAATGGCTTATAAAACTACATGTTCTACAAAAGTACAGTTGAAGGAAGTGGAGAAAAGGTAGAGGAAAAATTTTCAATGAGGGCAAAGTTAGCTATGTAGAAATAGATAAAATATATTGTACAAGGCTGGTCTAGATCCATGTGAGCACCCAGACAGGCGGTAATGATATGGTGCCTCTTCAAACTGATGTATGTTTGAAAAGCTTTGCTCAGTATTGTGAGAATAAAGAAAAGCTAATTTTCTATTAGTAAAAGTTGTATAGCACCTTTCTTTGTAACATCAGCCATTCTCTTTGCGCTTCATAGAAACAAAATTCCACCTGCCCAGTAGCACTAGTGAGCAGGATGGAATTAGCTGAAGATTTTGCGGGATAAACAGGGAGGGCATTTGCTTTGTTACTTGGCATTTCCAAATATACATCAAAATAGTCTCACAGAATGGCTGCCCTGTTTGTCACAACATCTCCCCTTTTATCAATCTCTTTTTTTATCCCTGCTTTTATTTCTGAAGCCTTCCACTCATTAACATAGTTTCCAAGTCTGTCCAAGGTTATTATACTGATAATGGAATTTTTGTTTTTTGTAACAGACAAGATTTTTTTCCATTACTGGATTTGATCTTGTTTTCGTTTGTAGTTTTATGGGGTTTTTTAGCTGCCATATGAGATTGCAATATTCATTGAATTGCAGAGGCCTCATTTACATTTTTCTGAATACATAAGACAATGTGTGTGAAAACCTGAGCTAACTGGCACCATATTTCACACCTATTTCATGGAGGTTTTGATGCCTCTAGAATGGCTCCTGAGCAGATGGCTGGATTCATGGAGGGTTTAAGCTGGGGAGTGACAAGGCCTAATTGATGTTGTATATGGGAAATGGATTATTAGAAGGAGAGAGAAAGCAAAGAAACTGGTTAGGAGGCTTACAATAATCTAGGGCGGTGGTGGTGGTAGTTTAGACTGGAGTGGGAGAGAAGTGAATAGGTTTGAGATATGTTTTGAAGATCGAGTTGATATGTTGATGAATTGGATAATGTGGGGTGAGAAAAAAGAACTTAATTAAGTATGACTGGTAGGCTGATACTTTTTTTCCTTTCAACAAGCAGGTACATGGAGGTTAACATTTTCTGTGATTAGCAACACTTAGGGTAGGACAGGGTTCATGGAAAAATACCAAGAATCACTGTGTGCGTCCACATAACAGCTGGGTAGTTGATTATAGTAGTTTGGAGTTGGATGAAGTCATGGTAGAGATAGATTTGAAAGTTATTAGCATATAGATGGTCAAGTGCGGCGAAGTCATCTAGGCTGTGATAAAAGCGAAGGGATCAGAGAAATGAACAAGTGAGCAGTGGAGAAGGAACCAGGAAAGGACACTGAGCTAGGACTAGCTGGTGAGAAAGGAGGAAGATTAGGCAGTAAGGTGTCACCGAAGTTAAGTGAAAAAAGTGCTTCAGTTTGTGTTGATGTTAATGTCAAGTAAGCTAAAAATGTAGAACTTATTGGTGACTTTTATGACCTCTAGAGGGTAGGGACAGTCAGAGAGGGTTGGTGAGCAAATGTGAGGTGGTAATGACAATAGATATCATTGCTTTGAGGAAGTTTTGCTTTATAGGGGAATAGAGAAATAGCGTCAAGGAAGGGTAGTTTTAAAGATATATACAGAGGGTGCCAAACCAATGTATACACATTTTAAGAAAGGAAAAAACTATTAGAATTGTAATAATATATACAGATAACAAAAGATGAATGCAAGTCATGTGTATACATTTTTTTGGCATCCCTGGCATATGCTGGGGAAATGTTTTGTTAATTAAATGACCGGGTAGAAAGGGAGTGATTGATGATGCGGAGGAAGTGGGAAGGATGGGGGGAACTCACAGAAGGTAAGAGGGCCTGGGATCAGGGAAGGCGGAGAGTGTGAATGGCTGCCGATAGGTGGTGGATTGCAGGTAGGAATATGAGGGAGTGCTGACAATCTGTTTTTACTTTTCAAGAAAGTGGTAGACATGGCCATGAGCTAGAGTGAGAGGCTTTGGGAGGGATAGAATCAGTTTGAGGTTAGAGCAGACAGGGTGAAAAATGAAGGTAAATACAGTAAGCAGGTGTAGGGTTGCCAGATACTGCTGCGTACCCATGGGAGATTTGTGGTCATGAATTTGAAGTGAAATCGATCAGCCCATTAATGTGTTTTTCTTGATAGGCTGCTTGGGTGCAGGCCTGGCTGGAGTATATGGATAGTTGTGTTTAAGCAGAGTTGAGGGAGAGTGGAGTAGGGCGTTATAGGTGTTTGCAGAGCAGTGATGATGACTTTGGAGTCGAGTGTATGTAGAGGAACAGTGAGGATGAGAGTGATGATGGTGAAAAAATGGGAGGTTATGTTCCCCAAGATCAGGAACAACTGAAAGCTGGATCTTCCAAGGCCCTAACTCCTAGTTCTAGGCACTTTCTGTTAGTGTTACATCTAGTCTACTTAAGAAGAAAATAGATTCTTTCAGTGGTAGCAATAGCTAGTGACTGCTTTTTGGAGGATTTACTAAGTGTTGAGTGCTGAACGAGTATTAATCACATTATATGCTGAAGACAGCCAACCCTTTGATGTAGGAATACTGTCTCTGTTTTACAGATGAGGAAACTGAGGCTTTGAAAGGCCAAATAACCTGCCCAAGGTCACACAGTAAGTGGGAGAGCCAGGAAAGTTATGTTCTGCAGCAGAAAGCAAGTTCTTAGCCGTTGTCCTGTGCTACTGCTGTCTCCTCTGACTCCTTGGAATACTTGAGATATGGAGGACTTATTTATCCTATGAGATGTACGCTGTTAAATTATGTCTAAATTAAGTTGATCTTTTCCCTTGGAAATAGGACTATAGAATTAAACATTTGTTTGAAGCTTAAAATAAAATAAAAGGAGTAAAAGCCAGGTAGGGACTTGGAAAATCAGAAAATATCTGTCTTGTTTAGTGGGGATAGGTGATTGTTGGTTTCAGTCCATTTTGTGGCCCCAAGGTGGGCCTAGAGATCTAGATTTTTTTTGTAGAAAGGTTTTGAATATTCATATGTTGGCAACTAATTTATATTTTTAAAAGCTCTGGGCAGGTCATATGAAACCAGTCTACAGGCCCCATTTGGCCCACTGGCAACCATGTATATGACCTGTGCTTTTAAATATAATTTGTTTGCAAGAATAGTGAATAAGTAATTTTTGTGTGAAAATGTTAAGTGGGCCAGGTATAGAGGGTTGAGTTTTTTTATTCAAATGCAGGTCATGCAAATACAGCCAGATGTGGAATTAACAGTGACAGTAAAGAACAGGAAAATAAATTGAAAATAATAACAGCTAAAACTTGGGGAGTCAGATCATATTACACAAAAGTAGGAAGGAGTGAAAGAGTCTCACAGTTAAGGGGTAGTCCTTGTGAGTAGAAGCAGTGGCTTGGGCTGCAATAAAAATTCAGTCCAAGGCTCAAGGGAAGGGGGCTCCTAGTCCATGCTCTGTCAGTTATGCTTTCTGTGAGTTTTATTTGGGTTTTTATGTGTGTGTTGGGGATCATCCCACAAAGGGGTGTTGTGAAAGCATTGAGAAATACCAGAAGCCCTTGAAAAAGAAAAATACTGTAGAAAAGTGAAATTATTTTCAGACCAGTTGGTAATTTAAAAGCTAAACGTATACCAGTGAAAGAATGAGATTTGCTGGTAAGAAACGGAAGAGATTTTATTTACATTTTATGAAAGTATAGTTGTTATTCTGGTATCTCTTCAAGATATCTGCTCTGTACCTATTATGATATTTATTTTTTAAAAAAACTTCTATTTTCAGTTGGATGGATTTATTGCTCGAAACTGGGCCAGTCAAAAATCAGCTTTGGGAAGTGCTCTTGATCCACTTGCTGATAAAATACTTATCAGTATCTTATATGTTAGCTTGACCTATGCAGATCTTATTCCAGGTAAGAACGCCGTCATGCGTACTTTTTAATAACACAGGGAAGGATTACATTAGTCAGCTGAGGATTTCTCTTTATAGACAAATACTTTTGTTCCAAAAATATATTTTTCAACTTTAAACTGTTTCCCTAATTTTAAACTATTGAACTGTTTGTTTGGCTTGTCAAGCCATTTGTTTTATTTTGGCATTTATAGCTTTGTTATACTAGTAGAATCCAGTTGCTTCCTTAGTAAGATTGTTTATAGTTACAGTTGAGCAAATATTATTTCACAGTGCCAATTCATATTAGTCTTGAATGTTTTGAAACTGTTATATTTTTTTAGTACCTAGCTTTTGGAAAGCAATTTAATGTTTTCCTAAATACAATTTAATCATAGTAAATGAGAGCTCTGAAACCCGGAAGATGTCTAAAGTTTCACATTATTATTACTTAGAGACTATTATGCAATTTCAATTCATGCGTGTAGTTTGTACATTATATGAAGACTTTCTAACAAAGTTTTATGATCTTTTGCATTATATCTTGCATGTACTTTCTTGGTTGTTCATTTTTCTATGTCAGCTGTACTTCTTAGTTTTTCACCCTCCTTCAGGTTAAACTGTTATGTTCCAAGTGTTAAAAATAGAACCTGAGAACAAAGAAGCTGTCACGTGGTTTTTCAATAGCATGTATTATTGGCATTCGATAGGAAGGAATGTGGTGGTGTTTCAGTGTAGTACAGTCTCCTCAATCTAGACATTCTTTTTTCTCGTCTGCCTTTAGGCATTTAAATTCCCATACCAAATTTAAAAATGAATTGGACTTACATTTATATTTCTGTGCTTCTTTGAAAGTCAGCTTGTTGCATGTGTATGATTGGGGGTATGGAAAGGGCAGGAGTAGTTGGTTCTAGTTAATATAAATAATTTGCAGGAAAAAAGAACCTAAGGAGCATTCTGTTGCATTCAAAATTCAGTGATCTTGTGTACTTTTGTGTCTCCCATTTTTCAGTTACATTGTACTTTTTTGTATTGTTTTACAAAGATTAGCCAGGAATGTTTAATATTTCCCTATAAAACATACCATTGTTTCTAGGCTTTGGTATTATGGATAATGTTGCTGTGAGCTTTACCTAAATTATTGGTGTAGGTTGTTTTCCATGCTAAGGCTTCCCTTCACTGTCATTCTGGATATTTCCACTTTTTCTCTTCTGTGTTGAGTCTGTTTTTCCAGGTTCCCATGGCTTCCTACTTAAGGTCCTCCTTTTGGTAGAGTATGTTTCCTGTGCAAGGGTGCAGTGTGGCAGCCAGATTCTTAGAGCTCTAAAATGTCTCTCTTCTAAAGATATCTAAATGTTTGTTATTCTACTCTCCATACTTGATTGAGGTTTGAACTGGGCATAATTTTCAATTGCATGTTTTTTCACTCAGATGTTTGAATACCATGTTCTGTAGACTTAACAAATTCCATATTGCTGTTGAGAAGTCTTTTGCCATTCTGATAACCTTTTTCTTTATATGTGCTTATGTTTTGTATTGGAAAACGTAAGATTTTTTTTTTTTTACATTTTCGTACTTGATTTTTTTTTTTTTTTAATGTGTCTCTCTTAGGCATTAGTTATTGAACTGCTTCTATGGATACCCAATTATTCCAGCCCTTTTTATTGAGAAGTGTGTACTTTCTCCAGATTCATTTCAGTGTGTGTGTGTATATGTATGTATATGTGTGTATACACACACACACACACACACACACACATATTCATTTCTGGATTGTCTAGTTTTTCACCCATTAATTTGTCTATCCTTGCACCAGTACCATTTAAAATTATTATTACTTCGCTAAAAGTGTTGATATCTGGTAGAGCAAGTCCTACCACCTTTGGTATTAGTCTTTCAATTTGTGTGTAAATTTTAGAATCAGCTTTTCAAGTTCCCCAGAAAATTCTGTTGGGATTTTAATTGGGATTGCATTGAATTTATAGATCTATCTGGAAAAATTGATATCTTTACAATATTGAGTTTTTAGTCTACAAACATGATATATCTGCTCTGTTTAGGTATTTTTAAAATGTCAGAATATTAGTTTTCTTTTTTTTTTTTTAAAGATTTTTATTGGGGAATTGGGGGATGGGAACAGCCCTGGGGAATTGGGGGATGGGGAACAGACAGGTTGCTGTCCTTTTTGTTCTTCAGTCTAGTTGTGGAGGACATTGCTTCACTGGCCCAAGTTGGCACCATCATTGCACTCTTCTCGGGCGAGGCAGATCAGTCGTCGGCTTCTGGACAGCTGCTCACGGCAGCTGCTGGCTGCTCACGCTGGCTGCTGGCTACACATGGTAGTCCATGGCAACCCACTGCCACAGGGGCTGCAGCCTATGCCGTTGCCGGTGACTCACGGCAGCCCAGCTGTAGGTTGAGCTGTTGTTCAGCATCTTAGCTGTAGAAGGCAGTGTCACTGGCCCTCATATGTGGGATCCGAACCGGGACCCTCTGGCATCCCAAGCCAGCTCTTAACCAACTTGCCACTTGGCCGGCCCAAATATGTATTTTTTAATTTGTGGGATTTCTTAGGTATCTTTTTGTTGTTGATTTCAGGCATAATTACGTTATATTCATAGAACCAAGCTCTGTGATTTTAGACCTTCAGTCCCAGTATTCAGTCAAATTTTATAAACATTTAAATCTTCAGATGAATGTATATTCTGCAGTAGTTGGGTATGATGTTCTATAGATGTCAGTTTAGTCAAGTTTTTAATCCTTATGTTTAAATGTTTCTTTACTGACTTCTTTTTTTCTTTTGGTCTGCTTGTTCTGTCAGTTACTGAAAAAGTAAGTTCAAGTTTCCTACTGTGTGTCTAATTTTCCATTTTTCTTTGTACTGATTTTTGCTTTGTGTTTTTCAAAGTCATACTATTAAGTGTATAAAAATTGAAATTGTGCCTCCTTGGTGAATTGAATATTTTAATTCGAAGTGACCATCTATATCTCTAGTAATTTTTGCCTTAAAGTCTCTTTTGTGAAATATTATGTATAGCTACACTAACTTACCTTTGGTCAGTGTTTGCATGATACATAAATCTTTTACTTTCAACTTTTCCACATCTTTATGTGTTAGATATCTCTTATAAATGACATATAGAGAGGTAGGTTTTCTTTATTTTTTCCAGTCTAAAAATATTTTACGTTTCAACTGGAACATTGAATCCATTAACATTTACTGTAAGTACTAATAATTGTGTGGAATACAATTTCCATTTTATGTGTTTTATTTGGCCCATATGTTCTGTTATAGTTTTCTCATTACATTTGTTTTCCCTGAACCAGTTCAAAAGTTTAATACTTTTGTTTCCATTTAGTTATTCTCAAAATTGTAACATTCATCCTTATATTATCAAAGTTTATCAAACTATACTCATTCTGGGCACTGGAAGGGCCTTACAATTAATTCCATTTATTTCTTTCTCAATTTAGGTTATTGTTGTTATACTTTAATTTTATATATTTCTTAAACCCACATGATATTGTTTATAAAATCAGTGTTCATTAAGGTTTATCTTTATATTTACTTTTTTATTTTTGGTTTATATTGTTTGATGTATTTCGTACCTTCCATCTGGAATTATTTTTCTTTTGCATAAAGTATATCTTTGGATATATTTTTAATGCACATCTACTGGTGGTACATTATTGTTTTTGTGTCTCTGAAAGTATTTTTATTTTCCTTTCATTTTTTTTTGTAAGAACATTTATGTTCTACTCTTAGCAAATTTTAATTATATAATAGAGTCACTGTTAACCAATAAAGATTTGAGTCGCTAAAACAAATTAAAAGTTTATTTGAGGTCTTAAAGGATTTGAATCTAAAAGACAAAGATTCAGTTAGCAACCCAAACTGTACTCTAGAGAGAGCAAAGAAAGGCAGGGGTTTTAAAGGCAAAACCACAAAATGTAATTCTTTTGTGCAACCAAAGGATCCTGCTTAGGTTAACAGAGATTGGTTAGTTCCAATATGCAAATAAGGAAGGCGAAAACTATAAGGAAAGAAGTCAAGTTCATGTTTGTCCATGTAGCAGTTGTTCCAGGGTGTTTACGGCTTGGCCTTGAGTGGAGTTTAGCAACAGGTTTAGCAGCTCTGACAACTGAGGCACCAAGGTATGTATGGGCCGCACTTCCCTAATAGCCTCCCAGCTCTATTTTAAGTGACTCTTAGCAATGTTTATTTCATTTTATTTTTTTCCATTTTGTCACCATGTTGTACATTAGATCCTCAGACTTTACTCATCTTAAAACTGAAAGTTTGTACCCTTTTCCACTCCCTCCCTACTTGTCCCACCCTCCAGTCTCTGCCAACCACATTTTTAGCCTGTTTCTATGAGTTCAGCTTTTTTTTTTTTTTTTTTAAGCTGAGCCATCCTGCCACCTGTTGGCAGCTCAGCAGCAGCTCAGCTCAGGCCAGGCATCAAACCGCTGTTGCTCAGAGCTCACACTCTTGAGTGAGCTCTTAACCAACTGAGCCACTCGGCCGACCCAAGTTCAACTTTTTAATTTAGATTCCATATATAAGTGATACCATGTAGTATTTGTCTTTCTGTCTGATTTTGCCTTCATTCTTGAAGGATATTTTTGCTGAGGATACAATTCTGGGCTGGTAGTTATTTTCTTTCAGCACATTCAACATATTCATTTGTGTTTTTATATCCATTGTTGGTAGTAACACTGTTAATCCATTGTCTTTTTTGAAGGAATTTTCTTTTTACTTTGATTGCTTTTAAAAATTTCCTCTTTGTCTTTGGTTTTCCACAATAGTATTTTTGAATATGAATTTTGTTTTATTTATCTTGCTTGAGACTTGTTGGGCTTTTTAATCTGTATATTGATGTTGTGAATCGGATCTGGAAAATTCTTAGCCACAATCTTCAGATAATGCTCTTGCCCATTTTTCTCCTCTTCTTTTCAGCCTGCAATGTACCGTCTCACAGTGTTATTTAAGTGTCTTAGCCTCTTTCCTGCATGTTAACC